CCATAGCCGCAACACATACAAAACCAGATGTGTGATATCCACTAACACAACAGTGGCACCCACTGCTGCATTACTCCTGTAATACGATTAAGGGTTAGGAAATGGTAACATGACATTTACCACAAACAAAACTTCAAGTTAACACAAACAGATCAGGCAATAGAACAGTTCCTTAACTTACACCCTACACATCAGACGAGGCAGCACGGAGCCTTTGGCCACAACCTCTCGGAGAACCACTGAGGTGACGACATCTCAACAGCCTTCCCGCGTCCCTCAAGGGCTGCACCGACACCTTTGGCGAGACCCTGGACGTGAAACCCTCAGTGCACTGATGGGGCTGGTAGATGTTGGCACCGTGTTGTAGCATCCTTCGAAAGAGCTGGTTCACAGCCAGTTTAACCACAGCAGCCCACTGATAGCGTCTGGCTGATGCATGCTGGCCGCAGGGTTAATTTGCAGGGGGTGAAATTAGTTTGCCCCCAGGCCGAGATCACAATTGGAAGGCAAAGATGCATTCATTTGAGCTCCTAGGATCATTCAAGTAAAACCTCACTTCTAATCTTCAAATATGGGAACTATGTTAAAGATGTTATCATTAAAAATATTAAAACAAATGTGTAGTGGTCTGAAAATACACAATGTAGGCTACGTTTTCAGGCTGTGACTCTCACAACAAAGCACTTTTCTTTGTTTTACCACTGGCTGAAGTGAATTCTAATGCATCCGTTAGATATGACCAGCACTTGAACACATTTATTTAACTATTGAACCATTGTAGGACTGATGCCTAAATGTAATAATTATTCTGAAATGCTTGTATAAGTGTAACATTGAATCTAGTTAAAAAATGCTCATTCAAAATACTGTAGCCACTAAATTCTGAAGGCGTGTCTTGGCGAAGCAGTTAGTTTCACCATGTGCGCCTTCATGTAGAATAATGCTGTGTACACTTTTGTCAAGTACAGATAGTGTGTATTTGCTTCAGGCATGTGTGGTGAAAAAAATAAAAAAATGTATCGCTGTAGAGGCTGTGTTTAATATCGTACAGTGGCCGAGCCTTGATGTTTGCAGTGCGGGCTTCTGGATGTTTTGTCTGCCGCGGCTCAGGCGGATGAAGCAAAGCGTGGAATCATCTGGGGTTTGTTATATTTTGTAGGCGTGCACTTGCACAAGCCGCGGTGCATACCAGGCCATTGTGAGCACAGTTTGGGCTGTTGGCAATGTGAGTACTTAGCAGTGAATGGTGGAATTCTGCTTTCATGGGGGGGCAGGATGACCAGTCCATAATATTTCATTATTGAGCTTCAGATTTCATGGTTGAGATATCTAGATTATATGCACATTTGTGAGATTATTTAAATACTTCTTCAATGGCCATTGCATGTTTAAAATTCAGCATTACGACATATTACAAGTTACAAATCTATTCGGAGATGGAATCAGAAGTATACTGTATGATAAATGAGTCCATTTGAAAATGCATTGGCTCGGTAAAATCCATTTTAAATATAGTATACATCTGCATTAATCGTATATAGCGATTAGGATTATTTGGATTGTATATGTTAATTTTAAAATACTGTAATGGGGTTATATGTTGAAGGATTTATTCTGCAGACGGGACAGCTGTTTTTATTTTTATTTCAGTAACTGTTTTACTTCATTCTGATAAAATCATGAATATGTTTGCAATGTAATATTTCATTATATCTTTTAATGGATGTTTTTTTTTTGGCATGGATAAACACAATTTTACATTTAGAGCGATTACTTTTTTTTTCAGATATTGTGTTACAATAGCTGTTTAAGTCTGTTAAGCTGGTTTAATAATTTTTTGGTGCATTCCTTTGTGAGTGCCGATGAGTAGTTTAACCTCGGTTGTACATTTATACTAAAACCTACACTGTTAACTATTCATAAAAATACAAATGGCAGCATTTATTTAGTTTTACCCCCCCCCCCGGAGAATTTCAGGAGAGGGAAAAAAAGCCAATGCCTGCGCTCTAACAGGAAAGGCATTGCCGAAAGCTGGCGGTAAAGGCAGCGTTTTGTTGAACTTGGCAAACGGAGAGAGCTTTGGCGCTGGTTTCGCTCTGAGCGGGTGATCCCGTGTGGCTGGCGTTTGCTCACATGCCAGTGTTGCAGGCTGACACCTGCATCTCAGACTCTGTGCAGAGGCCAGTGGACACAGAGAACGCTCTTTGCTCGCCTCGCCGTGCAGTCCAGAGAGTGCGGCGCACAAGGCCCGACTTTATGCTGCCGGTCGAGAGGGGGGGGGGTCACGATTCGGTCAACACAAAGAGGCCCCCTGCTCGTCTCCTCCGGCGAGCACATGATATGAAACGAACGGTTTATAACAGAAAATATTTTCTATCCCACTTAGTGCATAAATTGTGTTATCTGTGTCGTGTTTAGTTTTTCCCCGGTGCACTGACAGCGGCTATTAATGAAGTAAAGCATTATAAATGGGAATGTTTATTCTTTCTCCATCACAGCAATATTCCACCTTAATTGTCATAGCTACAGTTTGGTGATTAATTCTCATTGCAGTGTTGCCAGTATATAGTTTATTAAATGCTCTCTACCAGAGATGTCAAAGTAATGTATTAAGTTAGAGAGTACATTTCTCAGACATCCTTAAGGTTAATAGCATGATAGTGCTGACCAAAGCATTTTAAGTGGACATACACAGATATACACCGTCTCTTTAGGTGCATGCCTATGTGTAAATGGCTCAAGAATAGTGGCCTCCTACATAAATACACAATTACAGTAAAACCTTGGATTGCGAGTAACTTGGTCTGCGAGTGTTTTGCAAGACGAGCAAAAATTTTAAATAAATATTAATTTGATAAACGAGTAAGGTCTTGCAATATGAGTAGTACGTATACGCTTTGTCTGCCGAACATCACGTGATCACAACTGATATACGAGTGCTTTGGTATACGAGTGCTTTGGATTACAAACACGTTTCCGGAACGAATTATGCTCGCAATCCAAGGTTTTACTGTATATTCCATTCGCCCGAATGCGCCCTTGATTACACGATATGCTAATTTACACATTTTGGTAATACTGTACGTCGATCTGACTGGAGTATATATTGCATTTCCTTAGGCCTACACAATATGTTTTGCCTGAGCCCTGTCTATTACCGTAGGCATTTTTTGCCACAAATAGTATTCCCTCAAGCTAGCATGTTTTTTTTTTGCAACCATGGATAATAATCATGGCCTCGGCGGTAAAAGCAAGAAACCAGATTTTATGAATGTAACATTGATAAAGGTAGATTTGAAGCTTTCGGGACTGCAAGGATTCATACTCTTTGGTTTTGTCGGTAAAGTCACGTAGGTAAAATAAAATAAATGAAAACAACTAAATTAAATCACGACGTTTCGGAGGCAACACAAGTGTCCTTCTTCAGGTGGAAGTCACAGCAAAATAGCTGTATCTTGATACAGCTGTATCTTGATACAGCTATAGGTAAAATAAAATAAATGAAAACTAAATTAAATCATGACGTTGCCTCCGAAACGCCGTGATTTAATTTTTCATTTATTTTATTTCACCCACGTGACTTTACCGAAAAAACCAAAGAGTATTGATAAAAGTGTCTGATGAATCCATACTGGTTAGCCCATAAATACCTGTAAATGTATTATTAAAAATGTATTCCACTTTCCCATGTAACTAATGGCCACATAAGCCTAGAGTCTTTAGGACTTGACACATTGTAAATGGACCCTTCAGGTATATTTATGGAATAAAGTAAAAAAAATAATTCTGTCGACTTAAATAAATTAAGACTTGTGAAATGTGTGATTGTCATATGTTGTTTTTACTCCCATCTGGTAGTCGTGTCATTGGTACTTTGTCCTGAACATCTATGGAAGTTATTTGGGTTAATCTTACAAATGCGTTGACCATGCTACGCTTCTAGCCAGATGGTCTGTCCAATTGTTGTATCCCATAATCATGCAAAAATAGGCTTTCTTAGCCAGAGCAGCAGATAATGAGCTTCAAATGTCAAGTAAGCGGTTGGCATTAGATTAATACGAAATAAATGTTCTAAATGGATGTTTGTGTTAATGTTTTTCTTCTTCAGAACGTCAACTTATTTATATTATGTGAGATATTTGTTTCCAATCTCAACGTATTATTGAATAAAAAAGTACCAAAATGTACTAAATAGCAATATACAGTTAATTTATGGTTCTGTTTGTAGTGGTGTAATTTTTACTTTACATTGTCATCTGAAATAATGTAATGTTTTGGCAATAATATTTTTACATGAATTGTTTTTTCGTATGCTTTTGATAAATGTTTCAGTGTAACCGTTAGTAATTATATATATAAAAAAAATATTGAATAAATAATTTTAAACATGAAAATATGTATTCTTAACAACTGCGGATGACCTTACATCAAAATACATTTTTAGGAGCATTTTTGGTCTTCAAAGTTAAGACGGCACACGTGCCTGTAATTTACCGTATATAACGTGACATTGGTGGATCACACTTTGATTGTGCGGGAGACACCCGCCTGCAAATCGCAGTGAGGTGTAAGTATGGCAAATGGGTTGCTGACTTTTCTTTTACATACTTTTTTTTCATCGTAACCTCTTACAAGCCTTCGCCTCTTATAGAAACTGCAGTTTCCTCCCGCCCGCAAAAATCTTTGACCAAACGTCTCAAACAGAACTCCTCCGGTAATCCAGCACTGTGGAGGGGAGAGGGTTAGTGCCTCACATAAATGTTGCAAAATTCCCTGCCCATGGGCTTTGAGATACCAGAGGGATAGAGTGCTACCCCCTCACATATGTGTTTTCTCCGGGTGGTCCGATTTAATCCCACACTTATAAACACTCATTAATTGGCTGAAAACATCTTTTTTAAAAAAAACCCACTACAATACAGTGTGGTTTCATGGATCAAAACATTAATTAAAAAAAAGCTTTCGTGGTATATTTATCTGTGGGTTCTTGTGGGGGACAGTGGTTTTCCATGGCCCTCCTCCGGCCAAGATCAAGAAGGAATCGTGTGGCTCCACGTGCATCCTGGGTCCCAGCTCCAGCTGTGTGCGGGAAGCCGGGCTCATGGGCAACAGGACAGTCTGCACCAACTCTTGCCAGGCTGCATCCAGCTGCAGCCAAAGGTATGACGCAATGGGGCCGTGACGACGGCTCATTGACAGGCGCGCCAAAAAAAACTCCACCTTCACCAACGTCTAGCTGCACATTGTGCGGTTACGGGAGGGGAATAGTGTCACACAAATTGCAGGGTGCTGTTGTTATGTTTCACGAAAGCTCTTTCTTTGAAAACTATAGCAATGCTCCAACAATGTGCAAATGCACGTCCGTCACGTTGTGCACAGGAGGGTAAAGGATCCCGCTCATGCCGTTTGAATTGGTGGCGCATTTTATACCACTGTCGTCAGGGTTTGCTGTTTGGCCACTTTGAGTACAATGCGTTGCTGTTATTATCCACCTCTAACCTACCGCTGAGCATCATTAATGTTGTTCCTTACATCTAACAAATAAGTTATTTTATTTAATGATTTACTGATTGATATATAATCTATTTTACGTCATCTATTTGACATTTTAGACGTGTAATCTATTTTAAGTGCGTAATAATAGTAATAATACATGAACATCTTAACTGTTTCCCTTAGTGGTTCAACTAAACTTAAATTTAACCGAGAATATGTGAGCAGGTGGTGTTCACGCTGAAAACAATAGTGATGCCATCTTAAAAATCATTACGGAAAAATTATCCGTCACTTTTTTTCCTTGAGAACAATCATCCAGATCTGCTCTTTGGAACACTGCCAATTAAGATGAAATCCAGATGTATGTTTCAGGTGCCGTAGGAACACGTGTGATATTATCGCCAGTGTTGTAAATTAGCCAACCTTTGATTTGACATGCTGATATAAACTGTTACATAAATCTTCCAAAGATATGAATTTAATCTTATGTCATATGTTTTAGCGTGTTCAGGAATTTATTTCGTGAGGTGTGTCCCCCCCCATCAAATAAGCAGCGTCTATAATACGCTAAATGTCAGGACACCTCTGTGTTAATTAAAATGCCAGTTATCACAGAAACTGAAATTGGCTACATGATTCGACAAGCCGAGGAGGAATTAGACATAGTAATCTTCTCTTTGTATGCGTTCGCCATCTTTGCTTTGCATAGTTAATGAAACAGATCTGAAAAATATAAAGGTAGTTAAAATTAGATGGATTTCCAAGACAAGTCATGGCAGGCTAAGCACCCCTTATCTTAAAAGATATTTCATATACTTATTGACGTAATAACATCAAATGGTAAATATATTTAGCTTAAATCTTAGATCTACATAATTAATATTTCTTAACGAGTGTCATGTGAAATGCATTTCCATTTGTAAATCCAACGGAATTAAATGTTTGGCAGTTATCCAGGCATAGTATTTTAACTGTGTTTTATCCACCCCGCTGTTTTGGCCTTCCAGGCTCTGCGATCAGAAACAATCGGCGATGTTGCCGCCGCCTACTCCTCCTTGTGTCCGCGTGGCCACGCCCATGCATCCCGGCTCCGTTCAGTCCACGCACGGGGAGATGAGATACCAAGTGTCGCGCTCTCCTTTGCCGCCCACTCCACCCGGTGTCCTCTCGAGCCAGAGCCATGTGAATCTCATCTCTCCCACCGGCCCACCTGGCTCCATGCTCAACAGAATCACACCCGCGAACCGGTCAAGAGCCTCTGTGGGAGGAGGACCACCAACTCCAATGGGCCTCCCTCCACCCGTTTCTACGCCTCTGCCCCTGTCACCCCATATTCCTGGAAAGGAGCGGAGGTTTCAGCTTTCCCACCCTCCCCCTGCCTCTCCGTTTCCACCTGTTCAATGCCAGTCCGGACAGGCTGGCACTCACTCCCAGTATCTGCCCGAGCACAGGTGAGGCTCCTTGTAAATGGACACCCGGGTCCACCCGGAATGTTTTGGCTCCTGTTTCCTGCTTAGCTAACAGACCGGAAGCATCGTTTAGCAGAGTCAATGAGGTAAAGCAAGCCAAGAGGAAAATGCCCACCTGCTGCACATTTGCTATGCTACACTGTGACAGGTTGTGGAGTAAGGTCATCTTTCTTGGCATGGAAGGGATGGGTGGTATAATGAGATCGGCGTATCGCCTGATTCTCTCTCCCATGTAGCGTGGGTGCTAAAGTGGTGTCACATCTGCAAAAGGAGTTATTTGTAAAGCATGTGCTAAACAGGCATATATATCATCCTTGGATCGTTCCTAATTTCAATAGTATGCATCCAGCCCAATATTAAGTACGTGAGCGAAAGATTGTTAATTTTGGTGAATGACTTGCAGATTGAAATGTAAATAAACCTGAACCAATATAACTTTAGCAATGTTGTAAAACGTTACTTGAACACGTTATATAATTATTTAATGTAATGCACTATGGCCCACAAATTAGTGATGTTTTAAACATCAACATCTACTTACAACTACTTGGAATGCATATTACAAAAAGCAATGTGTATATAATTTTACGTTTGAGAACAAAATACATCCATGCATATCATTGGGGACACTTTGGTTTTTACACTGAGCTAACATCAGTGGCAAGTGATATCTGAACTGATCCCAGACCACCCCCTTCACAAACCAGTAATGTCTAGCATGGTGAAATATGGACAAACAACCCTGACGATTGACAGCATAGGGGGGCCTTCATACAGCAGTTCATTGAGAAAGGGATGTAATGTTCAGCTAAGTTAAACCTGATGTATTTCTTTCAATGAAAGTACTTCTGTTTGACACTAATCTTTCATATCAGCTATACAACCCAGTGGGCTCAATTTGTACGTACAGTTTTGCGCTTTGCAATATATGTTAAACTTTCAATAATTGCAAATCACTTAATGAATTAAGGAACCTAGTTACAGCATTTAAAAATCCACGAAAACCCCTCTTTATTTAAGCAGTGGGCATATTGTGAAATATGATGGTTCGTTTTGTTGCTCTTTGCATTATTCCACATTAAATGGAGCACACATAGTTAATCTAGTGAGATGTGTTGTGTTTAGCATGGGATATGTAAACTGTCACAGTGTTTGTACTAGCTCGTCTAAATTTAAGTCTGGTGAAGCTGGCAATACCATATATTTCTGTAATGGCGCAGACATTTTAAGCATGTTTGCAGCTATTTTCACAACGTTATTTGCTTATTTAGAGTGCGTTTTGCATATATTTCCACGTAAGTGAATGCATGCCTTGCAGACTGAAATTCGATGCCGTTCATATATTTCCATCATTTCATTGTGAGACATTCTCCCATCTCATTCGCGATGGCAGGGTGCAACGGCAGTTGTCGGAGCCGTGCCACCTTTACCCAGTGCACCACGGGGCGCCCTGCGTCGAGCGGCCGCCGTACCAGCGCCAGATGTCCGAGCCACTTCTGCCAGGGGCCCCCGCAGCTCGGCCTCTGCCTTCGCTCCCGTCGCAGGCCCCGTCCCTCCCTCAGCTCCCACAGCAGGCCTCTTCCCTGCCTCGAATCCCAGCCCACGCTTCAACTCGGCCTCAGCTGACCCTGCCAGCACTGTCCCTGCCGCCTCCGCCGCGTGCGTTCAAGCAGGAGTACCGCGACGCCCTGTACGACCGCGGCGCTGCTGGGGGTGGGACGGACGGGCCTCCTGAGGCTCCCTTCCCGCCACCGCCGCCGCCACCTCCATCCACGCACATCAAGCGAGAGCCGTCCGACTTCAGCTATGAGCACGGTCAGCAGGCGTCTGTGGCTGGACGTTGCTGACATCTTCACTTGTCTTTCCCCCAATTTGCTTCAGCTATGCGTATGCGCTTTTAGGTATTCAATGCCAAACGTAAAGATATAAGGGGAAACATTCGTAAATATGATTGCTAAAATCTTTTCCTGAGCGCAGGAGGTTTATTTTCATACTGAAGAATTTCAAGACCATTTGGCTGAAAAGACGAGATGTGTGTTTCGTCTCCTCTAACTCTACAATAGAAGAGGGGATGCAAGCATATAAAGGGAAATATTGAACACTCGATATAGTAATGGTTTCAAGTCATTATCAAGTGTGCTTTTTTTGATGCTGAAGCTGGCTGATAGATTTTAGAACTGCTTTACAACTGCACGCTGCTGATTCAAAGAAATAATTGAAAGTGAATTTTTTGTTGTTGTCCATAAAGCACTTCATGAACCAAAACCACAGCCAAGCAATCAAACAGAGTGACTGTAAAGAGTGGATCAAATATTGGTAGCAGCTTGTGATTTATGCACGCAAGTAAATCCAACATTTGTTATATTGTATTCGAGATGCGTTCCTCCTCTCGCCACGTTTATATAACGAATCTCCATTTCAAAAGCCTTTTCCCAAAACAAATTCCCACTAAAGATTACTTAAAATATATTTATTAGCCGCCAGCTGTTCAATTTGTAGAAAGCCGCGCAAAACCAAAGTAAACATTGACTTGATGGCACAGTGTATGTACAGAATTCTACCTGTTTATTTCAGGAAAAAGGTGCAACTAGTTGCTTGTCCATTAACAGCCGAATGCCAGCTCCACAGAAATCCCCCAATGCAGATTAATCAATTCGCTTTTTCTCGGCACAGAAGGCACATTGCCCTTGAAGCAAGCCATCCAATTGGAAATGGCTCTCCGAGCCTCCATTTCACATCTTCGGTTTTGTTGATCGCAGCACTGTTTTGCGAATAAATCTCATTGATTTAAAGATGACTCTGTCACGAGTAAATTATGCATGCTTATATGCACGGCAAGCATTTATGCACAAAAGGTTAATTTTCGAGTAAAAGCTTTCTTCGGTGTGCAACATTCTCGCCTCGCAGTTTGTTTCATATGTATGCATTTTCGTGATGTACATTGCACACTCTACTCTTTTAATGACAGAGCTGCAAGCGTAAAGCAAACGTGTGCGTATGGCGATCTCATTAATGCCTCACGCGTCACTTGTAAAATGCATTCTATTAGCTGAAACGTTAAAGGCACTTGTTGCTTGTTCACATTTTCCAGATCTTTCCTGCTGCCCATCCACATACCTGACAGGAGACAGCCATGCCCATTACCCAACCATTCCAGAAGGTATGCTTTTTGATACTATCAATACTTAAACCAGTAAAACCATTCAATGTGCCGCTGTCATGCCAATCGAAAAAATACTTGTGAAAGTTACTTCCGTAATCTTCCATTCTAGTTTAATTTTACGTCGTCGCCATGTTCATCCGCCCATGGGTCAATTTATACCGAGTAGAGTTCTACGTTGCTGTGTCCAGTGGTTGGCAATGTGGCTAAGTGCATGTGTGCAGTGTTGAGATAATGCTTCGTTACCTGCATGTGCACCAGCAACCAAGATTGAGAATGGGCGTTGGCAATGCCCAGATTAAGCTTACCTCCTGTGTGTGTATACACAGACCTGACATATACAGGATGGTCCGTTTTAATAGATACTCCACTAAATTAATAGCACAAGAGAACTCTTCTTATCTGTTTTGATATGGGGGATCCATATCAAGTATCCTATTATATGCAGGTTATCCCCGGGGTTTACCCCACTTATCTGTGGATGTCTCGGCCTCGCTTTGCGCTGCGTTGCACCGCTATCCGAGTAGATAACCTCGCATCCAATAAACCTTCAGAGCCAGGGTGAACATCTGACTCCAAATGTAATTTATTGAATTGAACGAGGTAAAACTGATGGAAAAACACAGCACAGATACAGCATTTTGGGAGATATCAATACAATGAATGAACACTACAGCATCATAACATTGTCTAGGATAACATGAAACTCAACAATAGATCCTGGATGGAGCAGGCACCTACATTAGTACTGAATAGCTATACAAGAGAATAAGCTAAGGGCACATCGTGTGATCTCCATGCTGCAGCCTAAATGTACAGCACCTGCATATAATACTGAACTGTGGATGAGATATTTCATCATCCTTGCTCTCATGATCGCAATAAGGTTAGATGGGTACGAGTCTGACTCGACTTATTCAATTACAAGTAACATTCACAGTAAGGCAAGTTGCAGGCTTCGTTGTTAACTAGGCCTCGTTTTTATCATATCAATTTAACAGCATTATAAAGGCATTTACAGCATTATAACGGTCATTGTAACATTATAACAGCATTTCCAGTATTACAAGACCATAAACGAACACAGACAATGCTTCTTAAAGTCCCACAATGAAGAGATGTGATCACCGAGACGTTATTTGTGCCTCTATGTGTACTCTGTGTAATGGCTGACACCCGCGTGGTTGAGAGAGAATCGTAAATCGTAACTTCCTGGTCACGTAACCAAACTCGGCATCAAAAACAGGGAATTCCCTGTGTACACACGACCCCACTCCTGCCGTGGAGCAAAACACCTACCGTGAGGCAGAATAGGGTAGGTAACATTCCTGCGGAGGGAGCTGGTAGGAACGTTGGGTTGCTCTGTCAATGGCCAGGGTCAACGGCGGCACCACGTGGTGTATTCCGCAAATATGCCCGAATGTGAGGGCGGGCACAAGCCGGCGTGAGTAGGTTAAACGTTGAGTTTTATAAGGGCACCACGGGGTGACCAGCCCCTCCCCACCCAGCACCACCCCTCCCACCCCCCACCCAGCCCCACCCTCCCCTCCCCACCCAGCCCCACCCCTCCCATTTTTGGATGCACGACGGACGGACACAATAATCCTCTGTGGGCTGGTGTAACCAGGAGGTTCCCACCAGTAAATTCACGGATAATAGGATACATTTGATGCATGGCCCCTCTTATCTGCAACGATCCTGGATAAGTAGGAGCTGTGATATGCAGTGTTTGCCAGATAAATAGACAGCCAATGCTCGTGGATAACCTGCAGATACTAGACGTTATTTAGTGAGCAACTCCATTTATCGGTGTAATAATTGTGCTTAAGTGGAGTCTTCAATCACAGCAGGAGGATCTCTGAAAAACGGTGCGTTGGCTTTTGCACAAAAACAAGCTGTGCCTCAAAGACATGTGGTTCTCTTCATATCTCCGCATGGCTCTGTGTCTCTCCTTGTGTCTATCCGAGATATACAAGGGGAGACGCAGAAATGAAAATACAGAGACAGACGCACACAGGGACACAAGAAGACATGAAGACAGACAAAGCCACACAGCCAGACAGAAACACCCATTCGTGTCAGTGGATTTGAGCAGGACATGTCATGTTAAGAAGGGATGGTGGATGATGGTCAAGAATAATAATGGCGCAGCGAACAATGAATGGAATTCACGCAAGAGGCCGTCCACCAAGGATGTGGAGTAAGGAAATCAGATCATGTGCAGGTGCTGAATGACTTATTGCATCCAAGATTGATTAGGAGAGGTGGCAACAGCTTGAGGGGGGGGGGCGAGGGGGCTTTCATCCAGCAGTGGATTGACCATGGGTGTCAGTGTACTGTGCAACGAACCCGGTGACCCGAGTTTGATTCCTAAACTAGGGAGACAAAGGCGGCCGGGCGTGGTGCTGGCCACCCGCCCCCTCGTGTACTCTGTCGGCCTTTGTGGGTAACAAAACTATTAGGCAATTATGCCTCTTTCACATATCTCTGTCCCTGCACATAGAAAAAAAACAAGTCTTTTTATTCAGCAGCCATCAGCAGCAGTGGCATACTGCATTTGCCCCAACAGTCTGTAAAGGCTTAATGTGGTACTTGTGTCTTTGTGTGAGTGTGTGTGAATGAGTGTGTGTGGTGAGATGGGCCTTACCATCAGCCCCACCAAAACTAAGCACCTGCCTGGGTATTTTGTACCATCGGACACTCCACCCCCACAACTCCCAATCGGTGATGGGGCAGTTGTGGAGAGAGTGGAGAGTTTCCCATACCTGGGCAGTGTGCTTATGACCAGCTCCAGTTTAACAGCAGAGGTCTCACTCCGAATCAGTCGAGCGGCAATATCTTTCCATCGGTTGTGTAACGCTGTGTGGAAGCTACCTGGTCTGTTGCTCCGCACTAAGCTTCAGGTCTTCTCGGCCACGGTCATTCCCTCCCTTCTCTACGCTTGCGAAACGTGGACCCCTCTAATGGAGCATCTTCACCGGTTAGAAACATTTAGGCTAGCCTGCCTACGATCCATCCTGGGTTTAACCAGGCTGGATTGTGTGAGGAGCCCACAAAGCCCTGAAAAATCTGGCCAAGGTCCCATCGGTGAGCTCCTCCGGCAGGCAAGGCTGTGTTGGCTGGGTCATGTAGCCCGCATGCCCAGCCACCGCATGCCGAAACAGCTTTTGTTCGGCCGGATCGAGGGTGCTAAACGGGGGTGGCACGGGCTAGAGAAGAGATGGAGTGATGTGGTACAGGAGGACGTGGAACTGAGTGGACTTGCCGATGACTGGTACCAGCAGTGTCAAGATCGGCCTCTGTGGAGGAGGCTCGTGAAGGACGCTACTGGGCAGTTGGAGGCAGTCGCCCTCCAACAACAACGGAGGGCGGAGGAAACACGCTCACAACAACGAGCGGAGCGCCGGGTGGCTAAAGCACAGCAGGTTGGCAAAGTAGAGGGCACAGGTGGTGCATCAGCCAATCATCTCAGTCATCTCAGTCAGTCGACCTGTGGCACCTGGGTCTGCCCCGTGACCTCCTGCCAGCGGGCGTTCAACACTTCACGTGGCCTCAAGGTGCACATGGCCTGGCACAAGCGTCGTGGTGACGTCACCACCACTTAGTGGCGAATGGCGGTTGTTGTGTGTGGTGATCTCATCGGTGAACAAGCACATTGTAAGCCATACACCAATGTTCCAAGAGTTGAGTTGGCCGGTCTTAATGCCTTTTTGTTTTGGGCTTAGTGTCCATTGAGATTATTATAGTGGCTGATTCTCCACTGTGCTGTGCTTTATTATAGACGGTGCGAGTTTGTGTGTGTGCCTGTGTGTGTGCCTGTGTCTGGAAGTGATGAGTGGTGTGTCGTGGTTAGTGTGTTGCGTTGCGAACCAGGCAACCTGAGTTCGTTTACTGCCGATGAACAATAACACTGGAGAATATTCAAACTGGTTATGGGCCTCCCCTACGTCTACTCATTTAAATAAGTATATGGTAATAAGTATACGGTATGGTGTGTAAAAATTGCCACTGGGAAGATTATAAGGGGGCTAGGCGTGGTGCTAGCCACCCACATGCTCGTGTGTCGTTCCGGTCTTCATAGGCGCTCGCTAATAACTGTCTGTTATAGGCTATGCAGTGGATCTTTGTCTCTTGTGTGAGGAGTGGTGGCGAGATGTTAACTACCTCGCCTGGTATGCAGGAGGTCATAGGTATATTTGGAGTGTGCATGTTCTTCCGGTGGTCACTTGGATTTTCTCCAGGTCCTCTGGTTTGTACCCTCCACATTTAGAAACATGCGTTTAGAGTATTTGGCTGCTTATCAATGTTCACATGATATGCCACTTCAATTGCAGTATCATTTGTAACCAGGTCACTTATGAAACAGAGCTATATAGCTCATTGGGCCTTACCTGATGAAATAGTTTAGATTTTGATTTAAAGCTTTCGTGACTGCAGTAATTCATATTCTTAGCTCTTTCGGTAAAGTCACGTTGAAGGGAAACAATAAAATATATATAAAACAATAAAAATTCTCACGACGTTTCGACCATTTGTGTTATGGCCGAAACGTCGTGAGAATTTTTATTGTTTTATATTTTATTATTTTATTGTTTCCCTTCAACGTGACTTTACCGAAAGAGCTAAGAATATAGTTAGTTTAGTTAATCGTTTTTCATGGGTTGATGCAATTTTCTAGGATTTTGGCGATCTAGTTTCTATTGCTGCTCAATCACACAGCACCAGTGACAACCGTTATCTCGTCTGTACCATCACGGAGTTGACTCAACACAAAAGCATACTTGACGTGGTGTGTAACATCAGCAATTTTTGAGGCAAATGTGGCTGGCCATTGTGCTGGCCACATCACACCGTCATGTCCCGTTTCAACCCTGGCAGGTGCTCACTGCAGCACTTTCTTTGACAGTTTATAAAGGTTAAATTGAAGACCTTTGTGCGCGTGTATGGAGAGCTTTATATATGTACACAGATAATGAGTGTGTGAAACATAACAGGTTGCGGGCCATATAGATATATATGAATAAGAATCACAGTGTGGGTGTGTGCTTACGGGGAGCGGTAGTGTAGCAGTTAGCGCGCTGCGCTACGAACCCGGCGACCCGAGTTCGATTCCCGCTCACGGCCAACACCGGTAACGATTATCTGAACCGGTCCTGGGCCTCCCCTAGGTCGACTCGGCCTCAAATGAGTACCTGGTGCGGTGTGTAAACATCGCCACCGTGGGGAGACAAAGGCGTGGTTGCTGGCCACCCACCGCCTCGTGTGCCGTGCCGGCCTTCATAGATGCTTGCTAACAGCACTTGCCCCAACAGCATGTTAAGGCTATACGGGGGATTTTTTGCCTTTGCTTGTGCACAATAAAATGTTCTGTGCTTTGTCCCGGTTTACGTTCATGGGAACAGCCAGGTGCTTTGCTTGGCAAACAGAGGGCAGGCGTGCCCACATGAGGGACTCTTTCCAGTTGGAAAGTACCGTACAGTGTTTTAGGGGGATATTGCAAAATAACGAGCGAAAACAAACGAACCCAATTCTTCAACATAAAGTATTTTGTTGTGCTTCCTTTGATGCTTTCGTATTACATTCGTGTGCAAGCGATACTTGGCTTTTATTTATTTTCAAAACCACGTGCTGTATTATTGCACTCTTATGAAATATATACATACACCTTTGCAGAGATTGAGGTGTTAAAACTATCAGTTCACAAAGGAGATTTCTAACACTACATACTTTTTGTTTGCCTTCTATGCCCCAACCAAGCATTTCTATCCACACCTCTTCCCTCAAATCTCCCTCTCACTGCTCTTAACCATAATTGAGATAAATAGTTGACAAGAGCACGACTATGAAATGTAATCTCATGCTGAGACAGAAAAACACACTATTATTGACATCTTGGCAGTTGGCCTTTGCAAGAGCAATGACATATCATGATTGAGAAACCTCAGCTAAACTGTTCTACATTATGTTATTTTATTTGCCAGTGTGAATGTGATTTGATTACATTTCTGACAACTGCTAACAACACAGACACAACAGTAGGGCATGCTATTTAGATTGTACATTCTAAAAAAAATCACATGGACACAACAAGAGGACAAGCTGGCGAGATTTTCCCAAAAAATGCAAAACGACTTTCTGCATTCACCAAGAAACTCTCGCCTAAGTCCTTGCCTCGAAACTGTCAGCAGTGAGCATAACCACACACTTTTTAACATCGTGTCTTGCTCATGTCTCATTTGCCATCAGGTTTTTGCAATTCTATTCTTGGATGTGGCATGTGAAGAATACGGTATACACCTTGGAGTATATTTGTTGCGGGTCAAATTGTTAATGTGTACATCCCAACCCACAGGATGTGTTGTGGGATAATTTAAGCACTGCCTCAACGTATTGATCGTCAATATCCCACAGTCACTGATCATATTGCCATGCATTTTAATGACAGTGAGCAAGCATAGGCATGAAAGAGAATAAACGGTTCGACCCCCACACGCTTCTTCAACGCACATGCGCTTGCTCTGGCTACGTGAGCGTGTACAATTTAAATTAATGATAAAGGTTAAGTATTAATTTGACCTGGTTGGACTGCCTGTTGCAGGGTATCTGGTGGAGGGCAGCAACTTGAGATGTGTGTATGACGACACTTGTGTGGTGCCAGAGAATTATGAAGGTGAGGCGTTCACTCATTTGACCCTTTGGTAATTCAGAGATTTTGCCTGCCTTATGCAATGCCCAGCATTGATGGCGCTTTACCATCTCACTCTGTCTACCGAGCAGAATGAAGTGTCGTGATCGGAGGACTTCGCACTGTTGAAGTGCGAGGTAGCTGAAAGATGTTGCATTTCTTACATTTTCCCCTGGATTTTGCTGATGTGTGCGCATTATATAAGTAGGCAATCTAGACAATGTAATCTTCTCCAATGTTACCAAAAAGTTCAGTGCAATTCTAAACTATGAGTATATTCAGATTATATGTACATGTCTTTTTCGTATGAAAATCCATTACTGTATTGGGATCCCTTAGTTTTTCCTGCAGGCCTACCCACTCATACAATGCAATACTGGCATTGGAAGAGAAACGAATCCATTTATTTTTGTAGAGAAATCCACGAGATTGAATTAACCAAGGAATATTACCCACAGATAAAGCGTTCAATATCCTATTCCCACCTCCAACGTAACGCTATGACTCCAAACATGCTAACAATACCAATTATCCTGAGGCGCCAATGTTTTGTGACGCCAAAGCAAGTGATGTTAAATTAGTCACAGAATAAAAAAAATACAAAGAACAAGCCAACAACTGAGTTATGTTCCTGATGGATCCTATTCTACGGGGATTTGGAGTGTGAGCTTTCTCACTTGTCAACAGCTTGCCAGCATCAACAAACTGCCATTGTGCATGTCCACACAAGGCTTTTTGATGCCTTGAGGTGCGGTCCCAATTCAGATGATGTTTGCCTTTAAAGACGCGTGATATTTTCCATTTAATTGCAAGCATGAAGTGTGAAGTGTTGCTTTGCCTACATAACAAAAAATTGAGCCAAACTACACAAAATATATGCCTGAACGTGTGTAAGAACAATTTATATGGAAAGGAGATGTATTTGCATTTTCAGAAGATATGGAAAAGGTGAGAACCCCAATTTCAGTCATGTATTAGAAGGAAGAAGCGTGTTAATTTATAAGGTAGACAAGGTAGCATTCTCTTCAGTCAAAAAGAACCAATGAGGAAAAAAACCCCGTGAATGTCTCCTGTCGTAGAATAAATACCAAATGGAGATTATAAAATCAATACATTGTCAATGTTTCTATTGAGATGTGCTAAGTTGGAGAGGTAGAAGACATTTTGTGCCCGTTCCATCTTTGGTAAATGGTCACCTGGTTACGTAGACTCTTCTTGTCTTTGACTTGTGCCCACATGGCCCAGCGTATATGGCCATGTGTACAACACAGCCCGTTTATGAAACAGCGACAATGCAAATGTCACCTGTGCGCCTGCAGGTGTGCATGTGGGATGACCGTGTTCTGTCTCTATTAAACGACAAAACCCAATGTCATTGAAAGCTGTCTCCGAGTCCATTCGACGATGTGCATTGACTGCGTGACAAATCTTTAAAATGCTTACGTAACATCGGCCTCGTCGTGCATGAAGACATACGGTATATGTATGTGACAGTGTTTCGAATGCCGTAATGGTCTGTGATTTTACTAATGAGTGGTAGCAATCCAGGGACTGTTACCATTTTCACCATGTCAGTTTCAAGTCAATGCCAATTTACTTGTCAAGGAAAATGGCGAAAATGAACCAGGTCTCATGTGATTACTGGTGTGGGCAGCGATTGCTGCACATGCATTATTATGGAAGCCCTCATTACCAACTCGGGGATAGAATTCCCGTAACATTATAGCACTCGCAGTGCTCGCAGTAAAGTACGAACTCAAAAAAATCAGCCCTTCATGCAGTAGGGCATATTTTGCAGTGTGTTTCAGCGGTTGGATAATTTGCCAATTACATCAGCTCGATGTAAAAAAAAAACACCTCTCGAGGTCATTAACTTTAATGTCAAGGGTGCATTTGTTTCAATTGGGCCACGACACAACAACAGTAGTTTTAATCCATTGGTAAAATACCATTTAATCGCTTCAGAAATGTACCTTTGTTTTTGATCTTGCATCGTAATCATCCACTGCTGGACGAAGGCACCCTCACACTGCCGCCGCATCTCGCAATCTTGCGATGCGGCAAAGCCATCCAACACCTGCCAGCGAATTGATTTCATCACTCCGTCTCCTCGGTGGGTGTCCTCTCGGACACGGTTAATTCCTTGGCTGTGATTCCATTATTATTGATGGGTACACTATGTAACACAATTTATTGTTCCTGGGTGCCAAGTGTTATTTTTTAATTGCTTATGCCTAAAAAGTATATAAAATGGCTATTATTCCCCACAAACTTTGCTTTTGTGACCAGGACTTTATGTGAACGAAAGACATAAATGCACAGCACGTTTTCTCATTGAAAAAATGTTAATTTCAAAATATCACTGTCCTGGTCACAAAAGAAAAGTTTGTGGGCAATAATGGCCATCGTCTGTACTTTTGAGGCATAAGCAATTAGGAAATAACACTTACTACACAGGAAAAAAATGTTTGTACAGTCATTCGCCATCCCTTCTAGCCATGATGTGTCCTGCCCAAGTCCACTAAACTTTTCTTGATAGTTTGGATAATGTCAATAAGCTGCCTATGTTCTATATCATTATAATGCAAGCATGCATCTCTCAATGTTTCTTTGCACACTTTTCAGCGTTTGGTTTATATATTTGTTTTTAACGATCCTGTTTCTGAAGCATGTCATAGCCGGTAGTACACACCGATTAAAAAAAATCTTCTTTAGGCACATTGATTTTTATTTTCAACTTTAACTTTACAAACTCAATTCAACCTGCTCTTGTCTGCCTCTTTATTTCATTTTTTTTTATTTCAGTTCACTGTAAATAGCTGTCCAGGTACATACAATACACTCTGCTGTGATTTCCAGTTGTGACTCCCTGATAGACATTTGTAATTGTTGAGTGAACTCATTGTGCTTGACCTTTGTTTGCTCATATTTATTCCAAGCCCAACCTTGCAGCCTTCTTTGATAAATTATTCTAACATTTCCTGAAGTTCATTCCCATTGGACATTCTCATCACTCGTGTGGTCGGCAAAATTTAAGATGGTTGATATTTTCTCCATTACGATGTATGCCTTTGTCTCTCCAATCTAAACAATCACCATAACCAACTTGGCCCGATGAGGCCTTCATCCAATAACAGATCGACAAATAACTTAAAATATCAAAATATGAACGCATAACAAGTGATAGTTCTATTGTTTTCAGTATACACTTTTAAATAATAATAATATTTCAGTTTGCTTTGGGAAGCCTCACTGACTCTCAAGACTCTTTCAGGAGGGAGTCCTGCTACATTGGGATATTTGGCTGAATGAGTAATGAGTGTTTGGCTGCTTATGGCAGGAAACCAGAGAACCTGGAGAAAACCCACCATACGTAGAATGGGGTGATTTATGTATCTATGTTGAACTTCTTCCACACCCTACGTAGCCAACCGTGCTAATCGGAGGTGACACTCAAAGCTCCGCACAGGCAGATTCAAGAAATCATTGCTGTACTTCCACCTGCTATTCCCAAGCAGTGCCCATTGACTAGGCTCCACCCTGACATTGTAAATTCACAATATTTTATCTGGGCAGGGTATAGAATAGGGTTATCCTCCCCAGGTAGGACAACTGAAAGTTTAGTCCTGGGGATTAAAAGAGCACAGCCAAGGAAATTCTTCTCGTAGCCCACAGCAAATCACACCCTGCAAGTCTCTCACTCACATTTATATTTACTCTATCTAACCCAAAAAAACCCTGTTATGGATGATATCGGTCGCGAAAGCCTCCTACTTGTTAAACTAAGTCTCTCAATTTGTAATCCCCTGCCTACAGTTTACTTGTGGTGGAGGCAAGAGGCCATGTCTGTGTCAAAAGTGATTACAATCATGCACAAAATTCCCACTAAGATACACCTCATTAATGATCGCTATCCAAAATAACATTTTACAGTTCACACGATCGTCTGCGTACGTGACAGCATCCCCATCAGGACGGTGGCATTCATGTTAATAGTGAAACGGCTCGTGTACATGGGAAATACACTTTTATCGGGGAAAATGGTACCCTCATGGCTCTTACAATCTTTCTGGAAATCAATTTAGCCTCACAGCAGCACTATTCGACAGGTATTCACGCGTTTTCATGCAAGGCATGGTTTACAGAGAAATATGACAAATATAAGAGAGCATTTCATCGCTGTGCGTTTAAGTGAACAAATAAATAGAGGTGTTGATTTGAAGCTTTCGTGACTGCAGGAATCCACACTCTTTGGTTCTTTCGGTAAAGCCACGTAGGTAGAAAATAAAATGAAATTAAATCACGACGTTTGTGTTGCGCCCGAAACGTCGTGACTTATTTTATTTTATACCTCCGTGACTTTACCGAAAGAACAAAATTAGTATAGAAGTGTCTTTTTGCTCTGCATCCTAATTTGAAGTGAGTTTCCTAACCGTAGTTCGTTAAATGGATATGTTTTTATTCAATTGGTTAAATTGTTGCATGTCGTAAAAGGATGTAATTTTAAAAAGCCTATATGAAAACCTTCCTTTCTAACATTTTGCACGTCCCAATATTACAGTAGCAATTCATGAACTACACTACTGCGTAGGTTTTTAGCATTTGTGCGCGATAGCTCTTTGATGTGTCTTCTCGTTGTTTCGCGTGTTGTTGAGTATGTTGTCCGATGTTTCGCTCCACGTGGTGAAAACATCTTCGGCAACTGAATTTTTTATTTACCGAATAAGCTCCCAGCATGTGGAGACGATCGTTGGACATTGTGCCAACTAACACACGCGGTGCAAACCCGACAATACATCGGTGAGTAAATCGCGTATTAGAGGCTTGTAAATTTGAAAACAAAATAAGTACTTAAAATTAAACCCGAACAAAATGGCCTGAGAGGTTGCTTCAATGAAATCGATGCAAGAGCTAAAAATGATCTGTGAATAACCAACGAGTGTTCTGCAGCAGGCCCCCACATAGTTAATCACATCAGTGTCATCTCACAAGAACCACACGCTTATAAATGGCCCTTGCTTACGATACTGGCAGAACATTGCACATTTGACCATTTGATACGAATGCGGTTTTATAGGATGACCGGTCACAAGGCAGGAAACTTTTTCGGGAACATTATCCTGAAACTTGACTTGAGACACTGCTCTGTAATCCACTCTTATGGATCACAACGAGTTTTATTTTAATAACATCACGAGGAAACCTTGTCGGAATTGGCTATAAACAGCGCAGAGCTTAATCGCACGTAATCCTGCCGTTTCTTACAAAGTGCCGCTTGGTTTATCCTGTGAATAATGATCATAGTGTACGTGGTGTACTAATTAGACAGCCGATTGTACCGCATGGTTGGAATGTTTGGCCACGTATAGTTTATTCATTCAAATATAAAGCGTGCGCCATATACTGAAAGTCTTGATTAATCTTCAGCAGTACTTAACGGAAGCATTATAAACATTCGCACCCAACATGCGTTCAAACACCTGGGACTGTCTCAAATCTCGATGGGATGTGTCGCCAACTCCATGGCAGACACGTGGAGGTTGAAAGGCATGAGATACGTACACATGATGACATAATCACACTGCCAAGCATTTGTCTGTTAGTGTTATTAACCTAGCTTAGATCCTCTGTCTAATCATAATTATTTAATAAGTATGTGCTATGAAGGACAATTGCCAGAAATGTCACCTTTTATGAATGCTTTCTTTGAAGGCAGTCTTATTGACGAATGTGAGTTTGTGTACGGTACTTGACGTTTGAGAGCAGTGTTATGTTAATAACAAAGCAGAACGTGGATATCTGTGAAAAATAGCTTAATACCTCATCATATTCCTCCAGTATAAATATTCTGATTCTGCTTGTCATGTTGATTACGTAATTCCAAATGTGATGCCTCTGTACAGGTAACCCTTTATTTACAAAAGGGATGAGCTATATATATATTAAAAAAACGCATAAAACAAAAATTCATAAATCAGAATGGCTTTCCCCATTAATTGAATACTAAGCAGGGGGAATGCGTTTCGGACAGTCATTCCAACTCTACTCCGAACCAAAAATAAACACCTTAACTACTTTTTTACATTTCAAAAAATAACATGAATATTAAAATATTGAATGATTCCTAAATGAAATATGTATTCCGGGAACTCGCCAAAAAGATCTGCATGTTGGAATGACTGGAAAGGTGACGTGGAGGCGTTACTGTTGTAGTGTAGAAATACCGTGACGCTGCGTGGATGGATGATAAGGCCCTCCTGGTGCTTGTTTGATCTAATGGCCCGTGCCATGTGAAATGTTGTTTACACGGAAATTCGATTTCGTTAATCGAAAACTGTCCGTCAAACCGAACGTCCGTAAATCAAAGGATACCTGTATATGAGCATCCCGTCGCTTTGTCTCCGATGATCTTCTGCTCTCAAGTTGTCCTGAAAAATGCATAAAAAGTGTTCTCTCAAAAAAGGAAACGGTGATTGATGAGCCCATTGGCCTTCTGTGTTGTCACTGCAGCTCACTTGCGCAAGTGTATTGATGAAATTCACACAGCGAATGGTGCAGTCCCACATCCACTCATGGGTTCCATTGAAGTTCAATGATTGAGCGAAGGGAAGAGCTCCCATAGTGCCTTGTTACCGAGCTGTGCACGGGTGATAATTGTTCCGTGCCTGAAATGTCTGCACGTGGAGTGACCCAAACTCATTATGTAAAATGATAGATGTTGACATTGACAATTGCGAGTTGGGTGGTGGAAAACCTAATAACATCCCGAACAGAATACAGTCAACATAACCAAGGATGCTTGATAATAGTTACGTGTGTTTGATACAGTTTAATTTTGAACAGTCTGAACAGTGAGAATGGGAATATATTTGGGTAAGATTTTTTTAAACCAACATTGTCACGTGTGAAGTCCCAGCTATTTCAGTGAATTTTTCTATGATGTAGTATTTACAACTATTTTTTTAAGTCATTATGCTAAACGTTTCATAAATGTTTTCAATTGCAAGCCTATGTGTTAAGTACAATAAGGGTTTTTAAAATGCAAATTATTATACATTGTTTACGCATCATATATAATGAAGGAACATGTTTTTTTACTGAAGAAATGTGTTTTACAACATGTTGGCATATACATGTCAAAAACATATAGTAATGTTGTTACATTACCTATCAGTGTTAAAACCACGTTACTGTGGCGATTGAGTTAATGCTGATGATATAAATGTACTCTTCATGCCATCATGTCCACACTCTGCGCATTTATCATGGTTTGTGTATAAAAACGTTGCGGTATAAACCACTTACATGATAAATATCTAAATTTGTTGCTTTTGTTGCGAGGCTGAAATCCAATTTTGTCCAGAATCAAGATGGTTGTTAGTCTTCATGTTGTTAGCAAGCCATGTCTGTCATTAAAGTAATGCTCTGTGCTGAGACTAATTGAATAAGGGTGCGCTGGGTATGTTTTCTAATTTTTGTTTGGCTTATTTGATGATAAAGCCAGTTCTCGGATTTTAATGTCTTCAATAACTGGGCATTATTTTTGTTGTTTTTGTACAATGCTGAGTGGTTTAACTGTTTTTGATTTACATTCATCGGTGGCTTTTCCAGTCAAACTTATGAAACATTGTAAAACGTGTCGGCCATTTATATTTGTCACATTTTTTCATCTCATGTTAGTGATAAGCAAAACCATTTTAAATCCCTTTTATTATGCATATTTTTTTGGTAGTTAAATATTGGGCCACAAGACAATTTATTCACATACTGTATTTTTGCAAGGAGTAAATTTTTCAAAAAATGTACGATTAAATTCAAGTAAACATATCTCAGCTTAAATATATATTTTAAAAAGCCCAACAATACAATACCCATCAATCAACCATGAAATTACTTCATAATCCTATGCCATCTGGAGAAAATGAATACATTGTCACTTTTAAGCAGTGAGGCCTTTTCCTAGAGCTTAATGCGTGAGGTTTTCGCAGTCGTGCTGGTCTAGCCATCGGACGTGTGTTTCCGGTTGTGTAACGCCGCACGTGCAGGGAGCTTCTTCAGTTCCCTCTTCATCTCCTGAAGGAGATCGAAGTATATGTGGAGTGGAACGTCAGACATGGTGCCACGTGGAACAACCTGAAATGCACACCTCCAAAGTTCACCCTCGAGCTGTCTAAATGGGTGACCCGCGCGTGCGACCGCACTTCTGTGTGCAGCTCTGGCGCGCGACGTGAAGCTGGAGCCGGGCTCCGTGCAGGACGGCTCCTTCTGTGAGCTCGGTGCCCGTGCCTGCGGCCCCTACCGCCACGTGGGGGTAGGTGGCCTCTCTGGCCCCTTCCGGGACGGGCCGCCCCCGTACCAGCGGCGCGGCTCGCTGCAGCTCTGGCAATTTCTTGTGGCGCTCCTGGACGACCCGGCGAATGGGCACCTCATTACCTGGACTGGACGCGGCATGGAGTTCAAGCTTCTGGAGCCGGAGGAGGTACAAGCACTGAATGGCAATGCACAGCCACCACCGCGAGATTGGACATTGGTATTTAATTGCACTTCTTGTATGTATAATTAAGAGGTTTAATGCCATCCTTAGTTGAAATGAAGCCCGTTAAGCTATGAATTTGGAGGTTTTTCTCATGTGGGCTGCTAAGGAATGGTTTTAAATAGCAGGGTTTAAATTCCTTCCCATCACTTGATACTGAAGCTTGAGCTATGCTTTTGAACCTATTGACCATTGTGAGTTTGCTAGTAAGGCAATATTTAAATGGTACAGGGCCTGTCTTATTCTATGGGTCTTTCAGTAAAGTCATGTAGATAGGTTCAAAGAAAATAACCAAAAACTACGACGTGATTTTACCGAAAGACCCATCGAATATGAATTCCTGCAGTCACGAAAGCTTTAAGTCAAGGACCTGTCTTCTTTCTCCCAAAGATTTTTCACGAATGAGAATGCTATTGCTGTTAAAGTGAGGTATTTATCTCTGGGTGAAAAAAAAATCAGTGTAGCACTGAACTACATCAAACAGTTTGTGCACTGAACTATCATTTAAATGAGACCACGTGATTTCAGTCCACTCAAGAAGCACGGGCTGCATTGCTAGATGTTGATCTATTAAGACATAATTGTTACCATACTAACAAACGACACCAGTGCTTGCTAGTAAAATGCTCAACACCAGTCTTAATTTTGATTAAAAATTTTATATTACTGGTGTTATTTCACAACAGCTTTTTTTATAATTCAGATGACAATATCCTTTTCTATAAATACAATTTGCATTTAAAATATTGTGCAAAGGCAGGTTTTAATCCAGTGGGAATTTTATTTATTAATGTATTTGATTAAAAAAATTGTATTTGTTTCTTGATTATACAAAAAAAGTGTAGTGTGCATATAATACATTTTAAATGTAAAAAATAAATACGTGAATATTAAACGATTTTAATATTTCTAAAAAGTTGTACTTGAAACATTACAGAGTTTGAGAGTAAGAATGAAAAATAATTTGTCCTACATATGTAAGTGATTTCATATTTTAATTTTGGCTTCTCATGGTAGATATTAAAATGCTGTATTCTGGCCCTAAACACAAGGAAACACAAGGAAACAAACAAAAGAAATAACAAATGTACCATTTGACAGCAAATAATGTAGTGATATTATTAAATTGGTACTGACAGAAGATGAATAATACAGCATTGCATGCATGCAGCAACAAATGAAGTTGAGCATACATATGAATGTCACACTGTGTTTGTTGAGGGCAAAAAAAAACTGTTCAATATTTCATGTCTTCTGTCCTATTTGTAGGTTGCGAGAAAATGGGGTGTCCAGAAAAACCGGCCGGCCATGAATTACGATAAACTAAGCCGTTCCCTTCGTTACTACTACGAAAAGGGCATCATGCAGAAGGTAGAGAGATGCACTGCAAGCAGGCACTTACTAATGAGCCTACGTGCACTACACTTTAATGAATGAATGTCTCTGAATATAAAAAAACGAACAGTACTGTTATAGCTGACAGAATATTTCTCAGCAAATTGTAATTGCAATCACACTTAGAGCAATAACAACTATCACTGTTGATCTGAGCGTTAGCTGACATTTCCTCATCAAGACACTTTTGTTTTCATTTAAAGCCCACATAAACACAATGTGTATGTACAAGCACATAAATCCACATAGACATGCACTTTGACGTGCAGGGTTGTTTGTGGATTTATTTTGTTCAGCCTATGACGTAGAATTATAACCGGTATTCTTATGGCTCCTTACAGGTGGCTGGTGAGAGGTATGTATACAAGTTTGTATGTGACCCAGAGGCCCTCTTCTCGTTGGCATTCCCGGACAACCAAAGGCCTCTGCTCAAGGCCGACATAGAGCGGCAGGTCAGCGGGGCTGACACGGTGCCCCTGACACACTTCGAAGAGAACACCACTTACCTGCAGGAAGTTGGACACTGCAATCCTGTGCAGTACACCGAGGGCTATGCCTACTGAGACTGGCCTTGTGCCACAGAGCTGCCCACCGTCTGGCAGGTTAAACTTTGTGTGTGGCATGACGTGTGCTTTTCAAATGACCTTAGGTACGTTGATTATAGAGGCATGGATATGAATTCTCACATGTGTGTAGGGTATTATGTGCTTGTTATCAGGCAGGCTATAGCCACTTTTAATGTAATAAAAGGTCAGAAATGCCTCTTGATTGTACGTGACACGTTTTTCATGTTCAATTGGTAAATAACCTAACCTGTTCGGTACTTCTAGATTTTTTTTCCGAGAGCACAGCTCTCTTTCAGCTTTACTATGCTACATAAAGCCATAACGTGCTACCTAAGCAGGTGGCGAAAGCTTTGCAGTGTTTTCATCTGAACCTTTCACTCTTTGTAGCGGAGTGCATCAAGTCGATGCACATTTGTAACTAAATCATCCTGAAGTGCAGCGAGAGGGCCGGATGTGGCTTAATAATGGCAGTGGCTTGACTGCACGCTGCACATCCTTGGCCCCACGGCTCCTTTGGGCTTTGTTTGTGGTGACACGTTTGAATTTGTATTTTTCAACCTTTGCCCATTCACGTGCATGCAAACCAGATGAAGAACTCTTTTGTTTCCTGATTTAAAAATGATTTATATTCAAAACCTTAGCGATTATCTTTGAGCTCTTAAAAGTACCTGCTGATATATTTGATATGTGTTTGATTCACATTTCTTAAACACGAGGAGACACGTGTTTTTACAAGCAATTTAAAATCCGTAATGGATGTTATTGGGTTAGATCACGTAAATATAAAGGTGTCGTTAAACCCGCCACCACCGGACACAGCCAATTAGTAAGGGTTGCCACGTAAACAAAACATGCCAATTTGTTATTAGTACAGTGTGTTGGAAAATAAACCCACAACATTTACAATTTGAGTACGACGTTTCACCAGTAATTACAACGAGCATCATCAGGTGGCAGCCAGAGTTGTGGAGAAATCCTCCTTTTTTGGTCTTAAATCAAGGGATAAATGTGATGTCGTCGCTTGTGAACCAATCAGGTGTGAAGGCCAGAGTGGGGGTGGGGGGGGTTGATGTATGCAGATAAATGGATATCCATTACCGATTGGGTTGTTCATAGGGTAATCAACAAACATTATGCATGCACACCATGGCATTATGGGTGCAAGAAATTGCAATACCTTTTATTGTCTGCTCATAGTTAATCACCATCGACGTACAGTATGGTGACCTGTATAGGCATGCAGTTAAAGTGTATTACTTTAACACGTAGGCTTTTGCGACCAATATTATTCATAATAAAGGTTTTTGGGTTAGATCGCTTAAGTATAAATGTGTCGTAACCCTCCACCACCAGACACAGCCAGTAAGGAGTAAATCCACAACATTGACAACATTTACAATAGTAAATGTGGATTTACAACACACCGTTGGGCTGAAGAAGTAACTAATTGATGCGTTTTGTTTACGTGACAAACCTTACTGGCTGTGTCAGGTGGTGGAGGGTTACAACACATTCATACTTATGTGATCTAACCCAAAAACCTTTATGATGTGTGTATAACTTGATCATTTGCTTCCAAGCAGCACTAAGCCTGTAGCTTTCAGAACAGGATTTCTCCGCAACTTTAGCTGTTGCCTGGTGACACTAGTGGCAATTACTGGCAAAACGTCGTGCTCGAATTGTAAATGTTGTGGGTTTACCCTCCAAAACACCGGTGTGCTGTACCAGTAATGTTTTGTTTACGTGACAAACCTCACTAATTTGCTGTGTCGGGTGGTGGCGGGTTTAACGACACGAGTATATTTACGCGATCTAACCCAAAAAACTCTATTGTGGATAATATTGGTTGTGAAAGCCTCCAACGTGTTAAACGATGTACCACGTTGGCCCTTCCGTACACCTTTGATCTGTATTTGCTTCATAGAAGCCATCAAAGGGGTTTTGTCTTGTTGCATACTTAAAGCAAAGTGTACTACTATGGCCATATGTAAAGCATGCAAAACGTTGCTGTCGCTTGACTTGATAATTGCATTTTGCAATGTGACAGAAATCTGCAGGGTCATCATTTTCGAGAAAAGACACGTGTACGCTATTTCTACGTCATTAATGCCCTTTTTTAAATAAAATGTGAAGTTTATATTAGCGTTCGAAAATGTGTTGTCCTGTTTCACAGGACAACTGACAATCCTTAAGAATATATTTGGACTATTGCTTAAAGATAGCGAGTGCGTGTATGTACGTGTATCTAATTCGGATGTATTGTTTTTATCCCAGTAGCTTTTTATAATGTTTGTAAATTGTATATATTGCCTTATTTTTGTGCTTACTTGCTGTATAGATGATGTTTTAACTGATGATTGTTAACATAGCACTAGGTTTATCACTTTATTGTAGTATAATGGCCATTTTCGTGTATTTTGAAATGATGTTTTTGTAATTTCTGCTTTAGATATTGCTGAACAATCAATGGTATTGTGGCATAACTTGTAAATGACCTTGGCAGTGCCTGCTTTGCAAAAAAAAACAAAATCTGCATATTTAGTTTCGTTTCTTCATATTCTGTAATAATTATATCTGTATTATCACCCTTTGAGCACTGGTTTGAAACATCACAAATTACATGACTAGAATTACTCTATGCAGTCTTCTCGTTGGTTCCATGACCTGCCGTAAATTAATCATGTATCGAGCATTCATCTTTTAAAAAGAAAATGTAATTAATAAAATAAATGAAAACATTTTTATTTCTGAAGATTTATTCATACACGTTTCCTCTGTACACTTTGTTTCACATTGCTGATAGTCCAAGTGACGACATGGGTCTCTCAGAGTTGAGTCGGTTGGCTGAATTCCTGCTGCTCCTCCTGCTCTCCATTCATTCGTGCGGAGCACCATCAAAGTATGCCAGCCGTGAAGAGGATATTACAGACCCGTTGACGTAATTCCAAGAGTAGACCTCTGTGTGGCGGTGTAGCATGCCAATTCTCGAATGGAGAAACGTTGCTATGTTACTCGGGTGTCTCTTGCAAACGAAATATTGAGAATACCACAGCAGCATCCTGAAGTGGCAGTGCACTGGTCAGTCCTCTCCATTTTTGGTCCCTAAGCCAGTGGTGGTCGTGTAAATGTAACATTCCTGTGGCAAGTTCCAATTAATGCAAAGGCAAAAATACTTGACCTTTCACAGAGTGCTACCAATGTTATCAACCCCACAGGGATGATATAAGCCCTGCAATGAATACTGTAAAGCAATCCGCATTTTGACTGTCATCCAAAAGTGTGTGTGTGTTTTTTTTATGGCAATATGCGATCTTTATTAAAGGACTCACCTTGACCGGCCGTTGCGAGTGTGCTCAAGTGGCCTGCCGATGGCACTCAGCTGCCGGGGAGCGGGGACGGTGGCTGCTTCCGCTGCTCGTTCTCCCAGGGGCTTCTCAAATGGCTGCACGCTCCCTTTCATCCGCCGGATTAATCTGACATCACACCCCACCGCACATCACCAATACCACACCAGTGCAGTCGTTTAGTGACAGCGTGCTCGCAGCTGCTGATGTGTAGTGTGTTTCCTTGATTACATTTTGAATACCCCAAGGGTGTATTTTTAATTTTCTTCACTGCTATTAAAATGTATTCATCGTTTGTACGTTAGGAATATAGCAATTAGTTTCAAATAAGGACGTCTCATTGATTGTTTGAAATTATATCATTCATATAGCATTCGACATTGTCTTGTATACCAAATGTTTTTCTGATTGTATATCTTTACAAAAATGCAACCGATTTAACTCAAGATAATTTATCCAAATACCTCTATCGAGTGGTGGGGGAAGCAGAATCAAATTTGTGTCATTTTCTTAAAATTATTTGGTGTCTGACATGTACTGTAACTTATGAACACAGCCACGAGTGTCTTCAATAGAGTCGGTTGAAAAATATTGTGTCGACACCCTTTTACTTTTAACATATCTGGCCAAGTGGCACTAGTTAGAGAGATTATTTGGCAATTGTAAACTTGGGAGCTGAGAGTCTACTTAAAATAACACACCCATCATCTCTCCTTAGTAAATCAATTAAGTTCCACCGTGTTTGTAGGAAATCAACAGTTGTCCTATGGAGAGACTAACCTTCAACCATGGGAATGTTCACAACGGGCCACGGACCACTCTATTGCTTGTTGGAGCAGAGAGTGTGTCTTGATTAATGTTTCAATCGAGGTTAATCGTGAACACGGTTTGGTATTGACGGTGAGCGTATTTCTGGCTGGGGGCTTGGCTTGTTCGCGTTGCCCAGCGAGCGGTCCCTGCTGACCTCGCATGGCAGGAAGCAGAAGAGAACAGGTGGTAAGCCATCCATAGATGAGGCTTTGGCTGCGCAGATGAAGGCATCGTAAGCATCCAGCCCCAGCCCTCCGACCACAAGCCCTGTGCCACCTCATCAATCCATCGCTGGCAGCAGAGGGAGGCACCTTCCAAAACATCAGGAATATTTGGCACTGAATAAAAGGTGATGCTTTATTTTAGGGGTGTGTACGTGTGTGTGTGTAAGAATTATGCATGTCCGGTTGTAAATTACCATCTTTCTGATCATCATCATACGTGTTTTTTTTTGTTAGCACAGAAGATAGATAAGCTTGTGTTTTTTTATTCATTCATGTTTATAAATGTACAAATAAATAGGCCAGCTCACGTGACCGAGCATTAAGTATTGCTGTCAATGGTCAACACAATGCAATTTACGATTGTCATTTTAACAAGGGTTGTCTGTGATGCTGAATGGGCTTGACACGGGCAAAGCATCTGCAAAAATAAATCGAGGCTCTGGTTGAGTGTTACATAAAAAAGCCATAAAATATTAATTATCAAAGAACCTTTTAGCAATCTCTGGGGAAGTGGCATGTGACAACATTCCGTATTGTTTTAGACATGTACAGTGTCGTGTTTATTGCCTGTTAAGGGCATTGGTCATGTGTCGTCTGGATGCATATCGTGAATACACGCTCGAGTGATTGGTCGTGATTTTCTGAGTGCACAAGCCCCCTTTTCCTGATGACGACCGCCTGTCATGCGATCGAAACGTAGTGGTTTATTTTATTATTACCGAAAGAACTAAAGAATAAGTCTGCATTCTAGACTGCCAGTACGCTCACTCAGGTTAAGAACCAGGCTACAGTCTACATTCTAGACTGCCAGAATGCTCACTCAGCTTAATAACCATTGCTACAGTCTACATTATAGACTGCCAGTACACTCACCGAGCTTAAAAAACAGGCTACAGTTTACATTATAGATTGCCAGTATGCTCATTCAGGTCAAGAATCAAGGTATAGAATACATTATAGACTGCCAGTACACTAACCCAGCTTAATAACCATTGCTACAGTCGACATTATAGACTGCCAGTACACTCACTAAACTTAATAACCAGGCTACAGTCTACATTATAGACTGATAGTACACTCACTCGGATTAAGAACCAGGCTACAGTCTACATTAGTGGTTTATTTTTTATTCACTTTATTTTTTTTTTCTACGCGACTGAAAAAACCAAAGAATATGAATAGGCCATGTAGAAGTTCCCTATTCTCCAAGTCTAAAATTCGGAAGTCTGTGAACTTGGTGAACTGTATGTGTGTATGTATGTTGAGCTTTTTCGCACCACACGTAGCCAACCGTGCTAATCGGTGGTGCGGGGTAAGGGCAACAAACTAAACACACAAATCAGAACTTATTTATAACGTCAATTTCACACTCTAAAGAACGACACGACCCTCTTATTGTCGCTTTTGAATGTCCTTTGAAAACATTTACTTGTTGGGTAATCATACATACGAAATTAACAAATATTTTTTCTTCTTTGGTTCTTTCGGTAAAGTCACGTAGAATGAGAATAAAATAATAAATTGATAAAATAAAATAACACAATAATATTCTCACGACGTTTCGGCCACAACACAAGCGGCCTTCATCAGGTGAAGGTACGAGACTGTCTGGAGGACAACGCTGGAGTGAAAAAGCCAAGCTCAGATCGCGACCTTTAAGCTGTGTGAGAAGAAACAAAGCGCCTTGACAAAGGAATTAGCATAGAATTTAGTATTGAAATGGCTGAGTAATTAGCTTGTGACTGGTCACAGAAATGGCTATGTTAAAGTTAAAGCATACACATCCACAGAGGCACCCACTGACAAAGGAATTAGCATAGAATTTAGCATTGAAATAGCTAAGTTAAAGCATACACATCCGCAGAGGCACCCCTTGACAAAGGAATTAGCATAGAATTTGGCATTGAAATAGCTGAGTGATTAGCTTGTAACTGGTCACAGAAATAGCTATGTTAAAGTCAGAGCATACACATTCACAGAGGCACCTAGTACAAATCAAACAGGAGAATTTAGCATTGAAATAACTGAGTGATTAGCTTGTGACTGGTCACAGAAATGGCTATGTTGAAGTCAAGGCCTACACATCTGAGCTATTCACAGTAACTGGGTATACACTACAATATATATTGAATACTATATAGTGAACCAATAAAAAACTAAAATATAAATTACCTCAATGTTATCAATAAACTCTATATATTCTCCAATCAGCTAAGCTACCAACAATAAGTCGTTATATATCACAATGCTAGATGGCGAAAAAAAATGGGTGGATTCTTACCCTCAACTTTAGCAACACGGATAGCTACGGGCCCCGTTCAGACGGACGAGTTTATCCATGGTCGGAACAGAGGAGGGGGAGAGAGACAGCTGCGAGGCGCTGTTATACTCCATGTTGTAAACCATACCATTAACCATGGTGTGAGAGGTATTAAGAGTCAATGCCAGCGAAAGAGCTGCGGTCTGAAGGTCATCGTAAAATACAATTAATTAAGAACGAAAATGGTTTAAAACATCTTTCCAATGGTTACTAAGTCAGAATCCATCTTCTCGGTTGAAAATATCTCTGTGCTTGTATATGTGAATGGCCTCATGAACGAATCTCTCATGGTAGCCGGTTGGTTTGCAAAGAACCTCCGTCTTGGAGAAGTCAATGTCATGTGAGCCCACTGAATTATAACAGTGATCTGCCAAGGCAGAGGAGTTCGTTCTACCGTGTTTCAAGTCTGCTTTATGTTTGCGGATGTGGTCCGAGATATGTCGTTTGGTTTCTCCAATGTAGCTACTACCACAGAGGCACTTTAGTTTGTAAACGCCCGGGTACTGTATGTCTGGAACAGCATCTTTTACAGATGGAACTAGATCACGGATTTTATGTACTGTGTTGAATCGGACCTGGATCTTGTGTTTATTCAGGATTTTGGAGATCTTTTTAGTGACCCCTGCAATGTAGGGTAAGGTGATGGTTTTGAGTGGCTCCACAAGAGGATCCTTCTTCATGACTGGAGTGATGGCTTTGCGGATTGTGTAGTTGGAGTAACCATTAGCCCTGAGAGCCTGGTGTACGTGCTTGAGTTCACTGGTAATGTGTTCCTGGTCGGAAATGCATTGGGCTCTATGGTATAGAGTCTTGATGAGGGAGTTCTTCTGGGATGGATGGTGGTGGGAATCTGGTTTCAAGTAAGCATCTGTATGGGTAGCTTTCCTGTAGACAGAGTGGCTCATTGAACCATCATGTCTCCTTTTAATTAAGACATCCAAAAAGGGTAGTTTGCCATCTTTTTCGACCTCCATGGTAAATCTGATGGCTGGGTGTATTGAATTGATGTGGTCGCGGAATTGGTCTAGAGCAGGCTGGCCATGTGGCCAGATGACAAAGGTGTCATCCACGTACCTCTTCCATAAGGTCGGGCGTAGAGTGGCAGTCTGGATGGCATCAGTTTCAAATTTTTCCATGAATACCTTGGCTACAACCGGAGATAGGGGGGAGCCCATTGGGGTGCCCTCAGTTTGTTTGTAGAAAGTTCCATTCCAGGTGACGTATGTGTTGGTTAAGCAATGTCTCACCAGGGGGGGCACATCAGTATGCAGTCCTTGATGAACCAGGTCTTCAATGATAGCGATGGTGTCAGGTACCGGGACTTTGGTGAACAAGGACACCACATCAAAACTGACAAGCAGGTCGTCTGGGGACAGGGAAATGCCTTTGATTGTCGATACCAGGTGAGTAGAATTTAGTACCGCAGAGGTGGTTTTTCCAGTGAAAGGTCGCAGTATATCAGCAAGAAAACGTGCCAGTTTATAGGTGGGGGAGTTGATAGTAGAGATGATGGGACGAAGGGGTGTATCTTCTTTGTGTATCTTTGGAAGGCCATATAATCTTGGTGGTCTGGCAGCAGAGTGTTTCAACGAGAACTGTTTGGTCTCATCAATTAATGCTGTTGAATCAGAGATGATTTTGTTCGTTTTGGTAACCAGGCTGTTGGTGGGATCTCTTTTTATTTTTGTATAGCTGCCATCGTTGTGTAGTTCTTGAATTTTGTTGTTATAGTCTGTTTTGTCCATGATGACAGTGGCATTGCCCTTGTCGGCTGAGAGGACGACAATATCATCTCTCTTTTTTAATTGAGATAATTCAAAACGTTCGTCTTTGCTGATGTTGCTGGGTGGCAACTTAGCGTTTTTGAGGGTTGCAGCAATTTCAGATCTTGGTACATCTGCAGAGATGTGACTCAAGCCCTTGAGTGCAACGTCGACATGGGCAATGATATCATTAACTGGTAAGTGTCTCGGTGTGACAGCAAACTTTAGACCTTTAGCTAAAACGGATTTCAGACCATCAGAAATGGAACTGTTACTGCGATTAATTACGACTTTGTTGACGTCTATCTTTTCGGTGTGTGGATCCGATTTTTTGTTGGAGAGGTGATTGAATTTGGAAATCAAATTGTCCCTACATTTGGTCGACATAGTGGGAGCCGAAGAGGTAGTCATATTGTCTACAAGTTCCCAATCCGATGTAGACATTGTTGCTGTCAATGTTAAGTGTGATTTGTAGAGTGTCTTGTCTAACTGATCGAGTTCTGTGCGTGTAAGTCTGATTTTTTCCGAGATAAGAGCTAAGCTAGTTTTGAAAAGAATTCGTTTCGCATTAGAAGAAGTTACAGCAGCAGTGGTTAGTATAAATGTGGTTGGTATTACCTTAGAGTCGCGGCATCTCTTCAGAAAGGTGAGAGACTCAATTAGTTGAGCCTTCTTATCCCGGAATCGAAATTTAACAAATATTTGTTTATCTTTGTTTCAATGTGAGTCAGTCATAAAGGGTATTTAAAAATATGATAGAAATATTTTTACAAAGCTGGACAGAATCATTGGCATAAAACACGCGATTAAATGCACCGGCATAGGGATAGAGCACCGAGTGTGGAATGATCCATTCATCTCAAATGTCTACTGGACATCTGTGAAAAAGAGCTTGTTTACTCATTAGATTATTTCAGTCAAATTTTTTAAAATTCTGATTCTAATCATTATCAGTACGTATAGATTTTATATATAAAAAATATTACTTTCATTACTTTTGCATTGGAACACAGCAATTCGTCCGGGAGTAATTGATGATTCA